CGGGGAGCCTGATTCCCTTCCTCTCTCTCTGGCTGCCTCTTTGCCTACCTGTGATCTCTGTCTGTCAAGTAAATAAATAAAATCTTTAAAAATAAATAAATAAATAAATAAATAAATAAATAAACTCTTTTAAAAAAAAGTTTTTATTTATTCATTTGAGGGGCGGCGCATACAAGCGAGAGCAGGAGCTGGGGGAGGGTCAGAAAGAGAGGAAGAGGGACGCCTGGGTGGCTCAGTTGGTTAAGCAGCTGCCTTCGGCTCCGGTCATGATCCCAGCGTCCTGGGATCGAGTCCCGCATCAGGCTCCTTGCTCATCGGGGAGCCTGCTTCTCCCTCTGCCTCTGCCTGCCATTCTGTCTGCCTGTGCTTGCTCTCTCTCCCTCTCTCTCTCTGACAAGTAAATAAATAAAATCTTAAAAAAAAAAAAAGAGAGGAAGAGGCAGACTGCCCCTTGAGCAGGGAGCCCCAGGACCCCAGGATTAAGACCTGAGCCAAATGCAGATGCTCAACTGACTGAGCCACTCAGGCACCGCTCAGAATTCACGTTTTTTACTTCATTACTATTTGTATTACAGAATTAAGCAAAGAACTGAGTATAAAGTAAAATCTGAAATATTCATTAGATTGCATTCTGCCAAGAAATAAATATGTTCTATACCCTTCTGTCTTTAAACCTGAGAACAATTTTGAGATAGGCTTCTGAAAAAAATAAAAAATAAACATAACCCTGGGATACGTGCATGCACACAAAACTTTAGATTAGAAAACAATCAACAAATATAATGTATTCTTATCACAATTAAAAAAAAAACCCAAGCACCTCTGCATTTGTCTCTATGTCCTTTAGCACTGAAAAAGGTCATGAAATTTAAAGAACAGCCAAAATTATCAAGAGGAGGAACTTAAAGGACAATTATTATAGCTAATTATCTTAGGCAAATGGTACATTATGAAAAAGAGGTGTCATCAGGTATGTTAGAACACTAAGGATAAATCTGGGACCATTTCATGGTGAATGAAGGACGGTCGATCAGAAATACCTTCATGTGAAGCAATTATTCTAGGAGACTGGACACTGGACAGGATAAAACTGTGGAGTCTACACTGGAGGAGAAGGGAATTACACTAGGCTTTCTCCAGTCCAGTCATGACTGTAATAAAGCTAGATGGGGTCCTTTTTTTTTTTTTTTTTTTAAGATTTTATTTATTTATTTGACAGAGAGAGAGAGCAGCGCACACACAAGTAGGCAGAGTGGCAGGGAGAGGGAGAGGGAGAAGCAGGTACCCTGGGCTCCATCCCAGGACTCTGGGATCATGCCTTGAGCTGGAGGCAGCCACCCAGGTACCCCTAGATGGCGTCTTTTTTTTTTTTTTTTTTTTAATTTATTTATTTGACAGACAGGGATCACAAGCAGGCAGAGGGGCAGGCAGAGAGAGAGGAGGAAGCAGGCTCCTTGCCGAGCAGAGAGCCCGATGCAGGGCTCGATCCCAGGACCCTGAGATCATGACCCGAGCCGAAGGCAGCGGCCTAACCCACTGAGCCACCCAGGCGCCCCTAGATGGCGTCTTTTAATGAGGAACCATCATAACAAGAATAAGGTACATCTGATGAGGCCACACTAATTTAATATGGCAAAATGAGTGCGATGAGCAATGATCATAAATCCATGATTATGAATGGCACAGAAACACTGAACCCAGATCCTTTTCTCATCCAAATTTGAAACACTTGACCAAAGATGCTTTTACAAACTTGAAAAATTATAAAGGACACGTTCCATAGTAGAGGTGATATAACAAAATGATTGACAACATGAGCCCTGAAAGTCAGAATGCTTGGGTTTATAACCCAGCCCTGCCACTTACCAGCTGTGTGAGCAGGGGTTAGTTTCTTTTTTGGCGGGGGGTGTGGGGGGCAAGTCTCTTTACGCCTTATGTCTCAGGTTCCTCAAATGAAAAATGGAAGTAATCACAGGACCTACCTCACAAAACTATGGTGAGGATTATAACACACACAAAGTACTCAGAAAAAAGAGTGTGGCTCATGGGAAGTTCTCAACAAATGCAAGCTATTAATATGCTTCTGGAAGTCATATAGCAAAAATCAGGAAACAAGTGGACTTTTTAAAGGTTCAAATATATTTGGGAATGGGAAATCAATACACTGGGACATACCCAACTTTAAGGTTGGTGATGTCTGGACAGGGTGAACCAGTAAGGTAATGCCCATTTTCCAAAAGTTTCCAACTCTAGAAAGTAGTGATTATTAGCTTTGATAAACCTTTCATTACTTTTGCAAAAGCCATAACAGCAATATGGGGGAAAAAAGAGAAGAGAGAATTAGATTTGCAGGCAAGGTGATGTTCTCAGAAATACATTGCGGGCAGATGTGCCAAAGTGGTGAAGTTCCCATTTTTGCCTGTGATCCTTCTAGGATTTCTCATCTATTAAAAAAAGTAGGGGGAGGGGGCCTGTCTGGCTCTCCCCCTTCAGTTATGGCAGTATTCCCTTCACCCATGATACTCCACAAAGGCCTTCCTTCAGTTCCAGGACAAGGCCAGGCTCTATCCTACCTCCGGGCCTTGGCAGATTGATCTTCCTCATGCCTAGAACACTAGAACTCCCTCACCACCCTCCTGTGACTGCTACTTGATCCTTGACTTCCCAACTTAAGTCACTCCTTCTGATACCCTTAAAGTCAGGTTTCTCTTCTTACTTTCAATCTCAGCACCCTGTTTGCTTCTTGCCACATCCCCGGTGAGCAGCTCCCAGAAGGCAGTGAACATTTTGCTCAATATATTGTCCTCAGTTAAGCTTAACACACGGACTAGCACCTAGTAGGCACTCAAAAAAACAATCTATTGGGCGCCTGGGTGGCTCAGTGGGTTAAGCCGCTGCCTTCGGCTCAGGTCATGATCCCAGTGTCCTGGGATCGAGTCCCACATTGGGCTCCTTGCTCAGCGGGGAGCCTGCTTCTCTCTGTGTCTCTCCCAGCCACTTCGCCTGCTTGTGCACTCTCTCTCTCTCTCTCTCTCTGACAAATAAATAAATAAAATCTTAAAAAAAAAAAAAAAAAAACCACAACAATCTATTGAATGAATCACGTAGCAGTGATTGCCTAAGGGCATTCATAGCTATGACCAAAGTAACCAAATAATGGCTCCATTCCAAGAAGTTTAGTTAGAACTTGACTGATGTAATCTGTTAGAGATTAGCACCTTCCTCCATGACTTTGTAAATTTTGCTTTCAACTTTGCCTTAGTCATTTTAACAACTGGTGATCTGGGCCCAAACTTCTAGCCAACAATGGCCTGGCTACATAACAATTATCTGAAGAGCTTATTAAAAATGCAGATTTTTGGATCAAAACTCCAGAAGATTCTTATTTACTACCTGTGTAATGAGGCTCTAGAATCCATAAATTCAAAACTTCGCTTATTTTGAATAAATATATGTGTGCAGTACACAATTCGAAAGGTACAAAAAGTTTACAGTGAAGTCTCCCTTCCATTCCTGTCCTCTGGCATCAAGTTCCCCTTCCCATAAGTTACCGCTATTTCAATTTCTTTTCTTTCTTTTTTTTTTTTAAGATTTTATTTATTTATTTGATAGACAGAGATAACAAGTAGTCAGAGAGGCAGGCAAGGAGAGAGTTGGAAGCAGGCTCCCCGCTGAGCAGAGAGCCTGATGCGGGGCTCAATCCCAGGACCATGAGACCATGACCTGAGCTGAAGGCAGAGGCTTTACCCACTGAGCCACCCAGGCGCCCCACTATTTCAATTTCTTATGTATTCTTCCAGGTAATTATTTGTCTACAGGAGCATGTATAAATCCTTTGCTTTAAACACACCGAAAATTTAAAGAACTGTTCCAACTTTGTTTTCTCTACTTCCATTGAACAGAACTTGTTGAAAGTGAAGTGATCTGTATTTTTAACAAGCATCCCAGGTGATTCTGAGGTAAAGCCAACTATCAGTAACCATTCACTGGCCCAGGGTTAAGAGATTAAGCGCAACTCACTATGATACACCAGAAACTCAGGGACATTGAAAAGATGCCTCCCAAGTAGTCTTGTTACTTGACTTCCACCTCTTGTCTTACCAAGACGAACTAAAACACTCTCTAATGAGTCCATAAAAGTAAGGAAAAACTAGCCATTCCAATGGATGTTGCCAAAGCTGTTCAATTTTTCAATTCCTGGAATCCTTTCCTGCCCAGAATCAACTGAAAACACAAACGCGACAACTTCTGTGTTAGAGACCTTTCGGTATTTGGGTTATAATGACGTTCGACATGCAGCGAACTAGGGCTGATGTTCTCTCCTGGTCGGTAAGTAGTTTAATGGAGCACAACTGAAATACGTCCTTACTAACCCTTACTGTCACAACAGTATCCAGTCCTCCCCTAGAATTGCTTTCTAATCATCTGGACAAAAGCAATTAACTTAAAAACTGTTGAGAAGACCGCACTGTCCCTCGAGTTCGGGCTCCAGAAGCAGACCTGACTTCACCTCCACCTGGGAGCCTAGGCTGGGCCCCCGGGCGGCTCTAGCTTCCTACTCCTATCTACCCCAGAGACTACAGAGAGTGTCCTTTTAGCACGGAGGGAAGGCTAAGGGCCACCCGGGGGTCTCCGCAGTGTCCCCTCCACCACGAGGGGCACCGCGCAGTAGGCATCCTCATCTCCCCTATACTCGGTGAAGGAAGGAGTTTAAAGGGCTCCCGAAGTGGGGCAGGGGAGCCGCCGGGCTGCAGCGCCGGCTCACCCCACGGCTCGCAGGGGGCAGGGGGAGGGCGTGACTCCTCCATCCCTTCCTCCTGGATTCAAACGCGAAGTCGGGAAAGTGGCGCTCCAGGGGCCCGAACCTCAGACCTCTCCCTTCTCCACTCGCGCTTTCCTGCATCCTCTGGGCCCCGCATCCCCACCACGAGCCGTGGTCCAGGCCTCCCTACCTCTGCCGGCCGTCCCGGCACCCTCTTGCCCGCCCCCAGACCCCTCACCCAGCATGATGGGGCTGAGCCGCCGGGCCAGGCCCTTGGACAGGTCGTATACGTAGAGCTTCACCGGATAGAGATTCGGCGGCTCCATCGGGACCCGTGGCGGCGGCTGCCACGAAGTCCCTCAGGCACCCGGCAGCGGCTTGGACCTTCCCGTACCCGACGGGGGTGGGGAGCGGAGGGAGCGGGGGGGGGGGGCCGGGCCCCGGCCCGCCGCGTGGGGGGGGGGGGAAAGGCGGCCCTGCGCTACACGCGCCCCCACGCCCGCCACCGGCAACGACTACTGTGAGGTGACAGAGCCGGGACGGGCAGGGTCCGCGCGGAAGAGGGGGCGGGGGCGGAGACGCACTCTTGCGCATGTGCTACTGTCCCGACGGACGGCGAGGGGCGGGGTTTCGCGGAAGGGGGGCGGGGCTTTCGCTCACGGGGTTGGATTCGTTGGAGACAGTAGTGGAAAGCGGGTGGGGGAAGTGGGCGTGTCAATTTGAGGAGGAATGTGCGCGCTATGCGTGATGACGCAACGGGCGTTGATTGGGAGCGCGAACTGGAGCCCGTGCGAGCGTTGCGCCCCGCCTTTTGTCCAAATTGATCTCTTCGTTGTTTCTAAGGTAGGCATTTCGGGCTTTTCGCTTTGTCCCTTGCTTTCCGGCCGGGGCTGGTCTCAACGTGCTTCGCTCACTTAGTCTTGCGCGCAGCTCTAGCCTCCCCGCGAGGCAGCGTCAGCACGAAGTGTGCAGACCGGCGGGGTAGAGACAGATTCTGGTCCCCGTCCCCTCCTCCGTGGGAGGCGGCACCTGGCCTTGAGGCCAGCCTGCAGTGAGACCCTGTCTCTCCGCGTGGCTGGCGGAGGAGTTGGGGGAAATTTGGGGGCGGGATGAGCACAGTGGGTCCGCTGGAGTATCTAGTACCCTGGAGCAGGAATTCCGTAGGTCCAGATGGTGCTGGAGACCAGACGGGGCCTTCAGGTTGGGCTGCCCCAGCACCCCAGTCAGTCGGAGGGCCGCTACCAGCCCTGAAGAGGCCTTGAGGGATAGCGGAGGTGAGGCTGCCGCTGGAATGATGCCCACCGCCGTATACTAGTGCATCTCAGTTACTGAGAGCTTTGGAGGCAGCAAGATCCAGCATCCGCATTCCTCACCAGTAATCTTGAGACTTTAGGGCGGATCTCATGGGAGCCTAGGAGTCGATATTTTTTAGGGTTAAATTTGCTTCTTACTGATCATAACTTTCTTTCACCTGGTGAGCAGTAAACAAAATGTCAGGTTGGGAGTCTTACTACAAAAACGAGGGCGATGAAGAAGAAGAACAAGAAGAGGGACTTGAAGCAGGTGGTAAGTGACTTCAACGTGTGCGCGGTTCTGTGTATAAGACTTTCCCTGTCTCTGCTGTCTAATGGCTTACCCTGCTCTCCCCAGAGAATCTCAAACGCTTTTCTCCCTTTGAACTTTGCAGAGCTACCCAAGGCTCTTTTACTCAAGTCCTACTCCAGTCCTTGAGACATTTGTAGCCTTAAACTTTTACTGGGTTCTGGTAGGTAGACATCTGTTGAGTTCGAGTCAATGACCCTGAACATTGGTACCTTTTGTCACCTCAGGGAAGACCTTTCCTCACCCAGGAGAGTTGTTTTACTCATTGTAGGACCTCAGTATAAAAATGTCTTCACCCTACAATAACTGCAGCAACCAAAGCGAAAATGTGAGCAACACAGTTACAAGATTCATTCTCTAACCATGGTCTCAGGCATGGTAGTAACACAAAGGATAAAGGAAGAGAAGTAAGGGGTGCATGTAGTCTACATACTGGTGAATTTAAGTCCTGGGTAAAAAAATTTTAAAGTGTTTTTACTAAAAGCGAGAAACACAGGAAACGTATAACATAAAAGAGAAAGTTTGCTGTAATCTATATATTCTACTGCCCGAACACTACTACTGCCAGCTTTTTGGCATTTTGCATATTTCCTTCATTGAAGGAAATTTCCTTCATCTTTTATTCTGCTATTTCTTAACTATGTATGTCTGCTTTTCTTTGTGTCTGATTTTTTATAATCATAGTGAATATATGTTTTTTCATTTTCATTTGCACCAGTCTTCTTCCAAAAACAATTTTAAACATAATTTTGTGTTCTGCCTTTTCCCCTTAATATATTATAGATATATTTTCCCATGTAACTACATATATGTCGTCTTTATAACTCATTTTAAAGGTACTGTAATTTTTTCAGTCTGCTTCCCATTGGACATTTTAGTTACTTTCAATTTCTTTTTTTTTTTTTTAAGATTTTATTTATTTATTTGGCAGAGAGAGAGAGACACAGCAAGAGAAGGAACAAAGCAGGGGGAGTGGGAGAGGGAGAAGTAGGTTTCCTGCTGAGCAGAGAGCCCGATGTGGGGCTCGATCCCAGGACCCTGGGATCCTGACCTGAGCTGAAGGCAGATGCTTAATGACCTAGCCACCCAGGCGCCCTATTTTCAATTTCTTACTTTAATGAACAACATTGTGGAAAATTTTGTATAAGGGGTTTCCCATATCTTATGTTCTTTAGATTGCTAAGAGGTAGAAGTCACTGGGTCATGATAGAATTTTTGTCCAAACCATAAGAGACTCTTAATCTCAGGAAACAAACTGAGGGTGCTGTAAGAGAAGGGGTGGGAGGGATGGGATACCTGGGTGATGGACATTGGAGAGGGTATGTGCTATGGTGAGTGCTGTGAATTGTGTAAGACTGATGAATCACCGCCATGTACCCCTGAAACAAATAATACATTATATGTTAATAAAAATAAATTAATTAAAATTAAAAAAAATTTTGTTTAGGGCTCTTGACCCATAATCGTCAAATTGTTTTATAGATGGGCAATTACGTTTATTGTATTAAAAGCAGCAGTGCGAATAAAAGGGAGACAACCAGACATTTTATGTGTTTCTTTTCTTTCTTTTTTTTTTTTAAAAGATTTTTTATTTATTTATTTGGCAGACAGAGATCACAAGTAGGCAGAGAGGCAGGCAGAGAGAGAGAGAGAGAGAGAGAGAGAGAGAGAGGAGGAAGCAGGCTCCCCGCTGAGCAGAGAGCCCGACGCGGGGCTTGATCCCAGAACCGTGAGATCATGACCTGAGCCGAAGGCATAGGCTTTAACCCACTGAGCCACCCAGGCGCCCCCTTTTTTTTTTTTTTTTAAAGATTTTTTATTTATGTGTTTCTTTTTTTTAAAGATTTTATTTATTTATTTGAGAGAGAACACAAGAGAGAGATTGAGCAAGTGAGTGAGCAGGCGAGGACAAGCATGGGGGAAGGGCAGAGGGAGAAGCAGGCTCCCCGTTGAGCAGGGATCCTGACTGGGGCTCGATCCCAGGACCCTGAGATCGTGACCTGAGCCAAAGGCAGACACTTAACTTACTGAGCCACCCAGGAGTCCCCATTTTATGTGTTTTTATAAAAAACTCAGCATCGCCTATGATGCCAGAAAGGAAAAAAGAACACCTGAATCTGATGATGAACCCTCTCTAGGTCCTCAGTAGGAAAGACAGAGGATTATGTCAGTTTATAACGAAAGAGTACAGTCAGCAAAATCCAGAAGGTGGAAAACTGTATGCAACACAACATTCTGGTTCTTTGGCAAATAAGTTATAAGACACAAAAACGGAGGGGTATCTATAGTTTAAGAGGTTTCAAAAACTTATTTTTTCTAAGTAGGCTCCACGCCCAGTGTGGAGCCTAACTGGGGGCTTGAACTCATGACCCTGAGATCAAGACCTGAGCTGAGATCAAGAGTCAGATGCTTAACTGACTGAGCCCCCCCCAGGTGCCCCCTGAAACTTTTTTTTTTTAAAGTCAAAACTAGTGTTTAGGAATGTTCACTAGGATGATAAAACTATAAAGGAAACAAGGAAATGATTATTGAAAGTCAGGTTAGTAGTTACTCTTTGGAGGAGGGTGGGCATTGTAATGGGCTTTTTTCTGTTTGTTTTACATGAATAATAAACATGATAAATATGACCACAAGTGCAAACATTTTCTCCTATTTTTCCCCCCATAGGAGAATATACATACTCAGGAAGAGATAGTTTGATTTTTTTGGTTGATGGTTCTAGGGCCATGTTTGAATCTGAGGGTGAAGATGAAATGACTCCTTTTGACATGAGCATCCAGGTAAGACTACCTTCTATTTAATTTAAAAAAAGGAAAGGAGAGGAAGAAAAAAGTATTAATACCACTCTAAAAATTATGGACTCTTTGAAAAATTTGTGAGTGATTGGTGTTTTTTAGCCTCTCCCAGAATGGTTGCATGTACTCTGAGCTAAAAAAAAAAAAAAAGGTAGCAGCACTGGAGCATAGACCCATTTTGTTTTGTGTTTGAACTTCAGACCCTAAGAATACATTGCTCCCACTTCTTGTGTTAGCCCTGGTGGTACAGAAGGGCTCCTCCTCCTGTAAAGATGTGCGTGTGAAGGAAGAAAGGATATTCCAACAGTTAATGGTGTTAAATGAGTCCTCTTTTCATTGGTATTCGGAAGTTGAGTATTACCCATGGCTGAAAAAAGACTGCAAAAAGACAACCCCATTTAAAAATGGGCATAGGATTTGCAACAACATTTCTCTAGAGATCTACAGATGGTCAAGAAGCCCTCAAAAAGATGCACATCTTTAGTCATTAGAGAAAAGCAAATTAAAAGCAAAACAAAACCATAGTGAGATATCCCACCCACTAGCATGGCTATATTTTAGAGGGGGAAAAAAAAGGATACAAAGAAACGTTGGCAAGGATGCAGAGAAATTGGAAACCTACGTTGCTGGTGGGAATGTGAGATGGGTCGGCTGCTGTGGAAAACAGGATGGCAGTTCCTCAGAGAATTAAACATAGAATTCCCACATGACCCAGCAATCCCTCTCCTAGCTAATTACCCAATAGAGTAAAAATGGGTTCAGGTCCTGATTCTGTCACTTACAAACTATATGAGGTCAGAAGAGTTGCTGAACCTTTTGGTATCTATCTCCTCATCTGCGTAATGGAGAAAATAATAGTACCTGTCCCATCAAGGAGTAAATATTTGGTTTTGTTCTGTTTTGTTTTAAGATTTTACTTCTTTATTTGAGAGGGAGAGAGAGCACAACCCAGGAGAGCAGGCAGCAGAGGGAGAAGCAGGCTCCTCACAGAGCAAGGAGCTCAATGCAGGACTCGATCCCAGGACCTCAGGATCATGACCTGAGCCAAAGGCAGATACCCAACCAACTGAGCTACCCAGGCGCCCCTTGTTCTGTTTTTTTAAAAAATTTATTTATTTAAGAGAGAGAGTGTTAGGGCGCCTGGGTGGCTCAGTGGGTTAAGCCGCTGCCTTCAGCTCAGGTCATGATCTTGGGGTCCTGGGATCGAGTCCCGCGTCAGGCTCTCTGCTCAGCAGGGAGCCTGCTTCCCTTCCTCTCTCTCTGCCTGCCTCTCTGCCTACTTGTGATCTCTGTCAAATAAATAAATAAAATCTTAAAAAAAAAAAAAAAGAGAGAGTGTTAGCAGGGGGGAGGAGCTGAGAGGGGTAGAGAATCTCAAGCAGACTCCCTGCTGAGTGAGGAGCCCAATGTGGGGTTTGATCTCACAGCTTGAGCCAAAACCAAGAGTCTGACACTCAGCCAAAGGCATCGCACAGGAGCCTCAATATTTTTTTTCTTAAATTGAGGTATAGTTTACATAACATAAAATTAACCATTTTAAGGTACACATTTCGAAGGTTTTTTTTTTTTAATTTTTATTTTTTATTTATTTATTTTTTTTATTTATTTGTCAGAGAGGGAGAGAGAGCAAGCACAGGCAGACAGAATGGCAGGCAGAGGCAGAGGGAGAAGCAGGCTCCCGCTGAGCAAGGAGCCCGATGTGGGACTCGATCCCAGGACGCTGGGATCATGACCTGAGCCGAAGTCAGCTGCTCAACCAACTGAGCCACCCAGGCGTCCCACATTTCGAAGGTTTTAGTCATTCATTGTGTAACCACCACCTCTGTGTTACTCCTGAATGTTTTGAATGGATAAACAAAATGTTTATACATGCTGTGGAGTACTACTCAGCCCTAAAAAGGAGTGACGTATTGAGACCACAAGGTGAATGAACCTTGAAAACATTATGTTAAGTGAAGGAAGCCAGACAAAAGGTCACACATTTTGGGATTACATTTATATGAAATAAGAAATACATAATCCATGGAGAATGTAGGTCGGTGGTTACCAGGAATGGCGATAGAGGCAGAGGCACCGGGGGAGCAATTACTTAATGGTAAGAGTGGTGCTTGCTTTTGGGGTGATGAAATTATTTTGGAACTAGACAGTGGTGGTGGTTATCCAGTGTTGTGAATGTACTAAATACTACTGAATTAATTAATTTAAAAATAGTTAATTTGGGGACATCGGCTGGCTCAGTCAGTAGGGCATGAGACCCTTGATCTTGGAGTTGTGAGTTCAAGTCTCACACTGGGTATGGAGCCTATTGAAAAATAAAATAAAAATGGTTAATTTTGTTATGTGAAGTCCACCTCCAGAAGATTATCATTTCTTTACAGAGAAGAATTATAAATTCTAAAGACTTAGCCGCATATATTATGTTTTATATTTTTAGAGTTTGGAGCCAAACAGAAGCTTCTGATGTTCTAATTTGTATACAGACAGTTCTTGTAGTTGGCAAATCAGAATATCTTGTATCTAGAAAAAGAATTAATGAGAATAGTCCTTAACTTTAAAGCAGTGGTTTTCAGAGTCATCTGTAGGCCTTGTTAGCATGAATGCAGAGCCTTGCCCCAGAATCAGAATTTCTGGTTCTGTAGATCTAGAGCTGGAACCAAGAATTTGCATTTCCAGCAAGTTCCCAGGTGATGCTGATGTTGCTAGTTTGGAGATCACTCTTTGAGGAGCACTGCTTTCACCTTTTTGGGATTGTGGCCTTCTTTGAGGATGTGGCAAAAGCTATGTACCCCATCTGCCAAAAAGATACACTCATACTTCTGCATGTAATTTCAAAGGGTTCTTAGAACGCTTGATGCCTAAAGGACCCAAAAGAAAATGTATTGCTATGTAGCAAATAAGTGAGACATTCACAGATGAATATAACGTATTTGATAAGCAATGAAAAAATATTTTTTCAAAAAAAAAATTTTTTTTTTAATTCTTAGAACCTAAAAGGAGCCCTCACCAAAGTTTTGTAAATGTTTATAGACTGCTCAAAGTAAATAAAGTTGAGGGGATGGAAAGTACAGCAGAAGGAACATAGTCAGTGGTATGATAATGGCTTTATAGGGTGACAGGTGGGAGCTACACTTGTGACAAGCAAAGCATAATGTACAGATTTGTCACATCACTATATCGTACACCTGACACAGGTAACGTTGTGTTACAATATACTTCAATTAAAAAAAAAGAGTAGGTTAAAATACTTGTAGAAATAATTACTAGACAGGATTTTCCTAGAATACTGACGTCTTTAATTGTGTAATTAAGCAAATTTTTATTCTAAAAGATGCTGTTAGGGAAAAAAAGATGCTGTTAGCAGTTAAGGACTTCCTGTTGGGCCACATCTACTTATTGTTAGCTTAAACCTTTTGCATAGGTGATTATTTTACATAGGTAACTTCTGTTTCTTGGTCTCAGGCTGCTTGAGGGAAGATCAGATGGCCTGTCCAAACTCAATTAAGTAAATGACATCAGTGGGACTCACATCCAGGTTTTCTGATTCCAATACTGGGCTGTTTTCCCTTCTTACAGCAGAATTTCCTCCCTGACTAATAAGTGATTCCAGTTCTTTGATTTCTTACGGTAGGAAGTACTCATACTTAACACACTTTGCCTTTTGTTATAGCATAATATATATGCCCATCCTTCTCACTGATTCATGACTTTCCTGAAGGTAGGAGTCAGGCCTTAATCTAACGCCATGGACAGATTCAGCAAATATATTAAGCATCTACTATGCCCCAGGCACTTACGGAGTTTAAATTTTATGGTAAGTTAAATATTAATTGAATTTTTATTTTGATTTTGTCAGTGTATCCAGAGTGTGTATACCAATAAGATCATAAGCAGTGATCAAGATCTCTTGGCAGTGGTGTTCTATGGTACTGAGAAGGATAAAAATTCAGTGAATTTCAAAAATATTTACGTCTTGCAGGAGTTGGATAATCCAGGTCAGTAGAGGCGTAAGATCAGCTTTTCCCTTAAACTGGAAGGTCACTGCCCTGAACAGAGAAGGATGTGGAGAAGGAAGTAGATGACATGTTGACTAAGAGTATGCTTTCCTGCAGAGGGGGGTTCTTCCTGGGATGTGCACTTTGTGGGTTAAACACTTCTGGGGTGAGAACGGGACCTCTGCTCTTCTGTTTACCATATAAATGGGGCATTAACTCCGTTTTGATTTTTCTGCCTGTTTGACTCCCTGTCTCTGATTAGGTGCGAAACGAGTGCTCGAGCTTGACCAGTTTAAAGGGGAGCAGGGGAAAAAGCATTTCCAAGACCTAATTGGCCATGGATCTGACTACTCACTGAGTGAGGTGCTCTGGGTCTGTGCCAACCTCTTTAGCGATGTCCAGGTCAAGATGAGCCATAAGAGGATCATGTTGTTCACCAATGAAGATGACCCCCATGGCCATGACAGTGCCAAAGCCAGCCGGGCCAGGACCAAAGCTGGAGATCTCCGTGACACAGGTTGGCATTTTCTCTGTTCTTTTCTGTTTTTTTATTTTTATTTTTATTTTTTAAAGATTTTATTTATTTATTTGACAGAGAGATCACAAGTAGGCAGAGAGGCAGGCAGAGAAAGAGGGGGAAGCAGGCTCCCCGCTGAGCAGAGAACCCGATATAGGGCTTGATCCCAGGACCCTGAGATCATGACCTGAGCTGAAGGCAGAGGCTTTAGCCCACTGAGCCACCCAGGCGCCCAGCCCCATCCCTGTCCCTTTTTTTTTAAAGATTTTATTTATTTATTTGACAGAGAGAGATCACAGGTAGGCAGAGAAAGAGAGAGGAGGAAACAGGCTCCCTGCCGAGCAGAGAGCCCATGCGGGGCTCGATCCCAGGACCCTGGGATCATGACCTGAGCCAAAGGCAGAGGCTTAACCCACTGAGCCACCCAGGCACCCCCTTCCCTGTTCTTTTAAATCGACACTTAATCTTATTGCTTCTTTGTAGTTGATGTCAAACATTTCTTTTTTCTCCACTGACTATGAAATGAAAGAATAAAATGAAGCTGGGGGAGACACCTATGTAACATTCCTACTGAAAATGATGAAGCCATTTGCGCGTGCTCTCTCTCTCTCTCTCTCTCTCTCTCTCTCTTTTTTTTTTTTTTTTAAGATTTATTTGTTTTAGAGAGACAGAGAGTGTGTGTGTGTGATTGGCGGGTGCTGGGAGGGCAGAGGGAACGAATCCCAAACAGACCGCCCTGTGTGTGGAGCCGGACTCCAGGCTCCAGGCTTGAGCTCACGACCCTGAGATCATGACCTGAGCTGAAATCAGGAGTCAGATGCTCACCCCACAGAGCCACCCAGGCGCCCCAGGGCCATGTGCTTTCTTTTTTTTTTTTTTTAGATTTTATTTGTTTATTTGACAGAGATCACAAGTAGACAGAGAGGCAGGCAGAGAGAGAGAGAGAGGGAAGCAGGCTCCCTGCCGAGCAGAGAGCCCGATGCGGTACCCGATCCCAGGACCCTGAGATCATGACCTGAGCCGAAGGCAGCAGCGTAACCCATTGAGCCACCCAGGTGCCCGGCCATGTGCTTTCTAAAGAGCTCTACTAGAGCGAGCTTTTCTTGACTTTTCATGCTACCATGCATGGTGATGTTTTGAATAAGTAAGTGCTCAGGGCACCTGGCTGGCTCCATTGGTAAAGCATGTGACTTTTGATCTCAAGGTTGGGAGTTCGAGCCCCACGTTGGGTGTGGAGCCTATTTAAAAATAAAATAAAAATATTGAATAAGTTGCCCTTATAGCAGCTGATTCCCTTAGCGTGTCTATAAGTCCTAAAAATGTTAATAACCCATCTAGTTCTTTGCGTATTTGGGCTTATCTGAAAAAACAATTCTCGCTTGCTAAAAGTTGTTTTCCTTGCCCCAGGTATCTTCCTGGACTTGATGCACCTGAAGAAACGTGGGGGCTTTGACATATCCTTGTTTTACCGAGATATCATCAGCACAGCTGAGGATGAGGACCTAGGGGTTCACTTTGAGGAATCCAGCAAACTGGAGGACCTGCTAAGGAAGGTCCGTGCCAAGGAGACCAAGAAGCGTGTGCTGTGCAGGTGCGCTCTGAACCTGGGCCAGCCGCCCGCAAGGGCCCTGCCCCGTCGGGAACACCCAGCTGCTTTGACAAAGCTTCCTCGGCTCCTTACCTCTGGGCGGTGCCTCCCGGTGTGCCTCACTGAAAACTTGCTTTATCTCAGCCTAGCATGTTTGCGTATGTGCTTCTCCTCCTCTGGCAAGAGCGGGTAGGCTAGTTCTCCAGAAGAGCACAGCTCTCCACTTCCTTGGGGTAAACAGTTGTGGCCTACTGCTGTCCTCACCTGCGGTCGCTAGTATGTCGGCTGCTCGCTTCTCTGTGAATTGGGGATAACAGTAATACCTGATCTAGAGCAAAAACTCAGGAAGTGCTAGTTATTGTCACTGGTGTTGCATTATTCTGGTTTCTTACAAACCTTGAGATCAACAGGAACCAGCTTGTTAAATTACCTTCTCTTTTTAAAAAATTTTATTTATTTTTTGTTTATTTGACAGAGAGATCAGAAGTAGGCAGAGAGGCAGGCAGAGGGAGGGAGAAGCAGGCTCCCTGCTGAGCAGAGAGCCCAATATGGGGCTTGATCCCAGGACCCTAAGATCATGACCTGAGCCGAAGGCAGAGGCATAACCCACTGAGCCAGGTGCCCCTAAGTTACCTTCTCTTAGAGAACTTTGCCCTGAGAGTCCCAAGGGCTCTCCCATGTTGCTTTCGAAAGGTTCACATCAGGCTTTTGTTTTAGACTAGGTTCCTCAACATAGGGGAACATGACCATAGGTAGTTTTTTTTTTTTTTTTTTAAAGATTTTATTTATTTATTTGACAAGACAGAGATCACAAGTAGGCAGAGAAGCAGGCAGAGAGAGAGGAGGAAGCAGGCTCCCTGCCAAGCAGAGAGCCCGATGCGGGGCTCGATCCCAGAATCCTGGGATCATGACCTGAGCCGAAGGCAGAGGCTTTAACCCACTGAGCCACCCAGGCGCCCCACCATAGGTAGTTTTTGAGGAGTTTTCAGGAGGTTACTGACAGTTCTGCTAGAAAACTCATGAAACGATTTTAGGGCAACCACATAGCAGCCCACTGCGAACGGTTATAGTTTGGCTGTTGGTTCTCTCCTTTGCCCCTTGGGAATGATTTCTTTTTCTTCACACAAACACGCTGGCATCTCTTCTCCCTTCCTGAAATAATGGAGTATTGTCACTGCAATTTGGAAATCTAGCACATGTTTCGGTGGGGATGGCAGAGAGGATAAAATAGCGGTTAAATGTAGGTCCTGGGGGCGCCTGGGTGGCTCAGTGGGTTAAAGCCTCTGCCTTCGGCTCAGGGCATGATCTCAGAGTCCTGGGACCGAGCCCCAAATCAGGCTCTCTGCTCAGCGGGGAGCCTGCTTCTCCCGCCCCCCACCTGCCTCTCTGCCTACTTGTGATCTCTCTCTCTCTCTGTCAAATAAGTAAATAAAAATATAAAAAAAAAAATGTAGGTCCTAGAGCCAGGTTGGCTTGGATTGTAGTCCCGGCCCTTCTGCTGGGCAACCTGGGGCAAGTCACATGACTTCTCTGGACTTCTGTAGAATGGGGGCAAACATGGTCCCTCCTCATAGGACGGCTATATTGACTAACCCAGATAGATAACCCAGGCAGAGTGCTTGGCATAGTAATTATTTACAAATGTTAGTATTTTCTTTTTTTTTTCTTTAAAGATTTTATTTATTTGTCAGAGAGAGAGAGTACACACAAGCAGGCAGAGAGGCAGGCAGAGAGAGAGGAAGGGAAGCAGGCTCCCTGCCGAGCAAGGAGCCCGATGCGGGACTTGATCCCAGGACCCCAGGATCATTACCTGAGCCGAACGAAGGCAGCGGCTTAACCAACTGAGCCACCCAGGCATCCCCAAATGTTAGTATTATTCTTTGGAAGAATGGTTACAGGATACTTGATAGGAGTATTAAACTGGAACTGTTTGAGAACTAATAACGCCTTAGGCCTAGAAAATGATTAATGTTCTCACTATAATCAAATAATGGAATTATGTTATTGCAAGGTTATTGTGTGCCAGCACTGTCCTAAGTTCTTTGTTAACATACTAACTTTTATCTTTATTTTTGAAAAGATTTTATTTATTTGAGAGAGAGAGAGAGAGAGAGTACTGGCGGGGGAACAGCAGGCAGAGGGAGAAGGAGAAGCAGATTGCCCGCTGATCAAGGAGCCCACACAGGGCTCGATTCCAGGACCCTGGGATCAGGGCCTGAGCCGAAGGCAGATGCTAAACTGACTGAGCCACCCTGGCGCCCTTATTTTTTAAAGACAGAAAGGGAACATGTGTGAGCCTGGTGGGGGAGGGGCAGAAGAACAGGAAGAGAATCTTTTTTTGTTTGTTTTTTTTGTTTGTTTTAGAGAGAGTGTGTGGTGGGGTTGGGGGGGTGGGCAGAGGGAAAAGGAGAGAAGCAGATTCCCCGCTGAGTGTGGAACCCAGTGTACCTGACATAGGCACCTGATCTCACATCCCCTGACCCTGAGACTGTGACCTGAGCTGAAATCAAGAGTTGGGCACTTAACTGACTGAGCCACCCAGGCACCCTAAAACAATCATTATTTTTATTACGGTACACTCTTTATCATTATTTTAAGTAATTTAACGATATATTCTGAAACTAATTTTTGTGATATAGACCCTGAGATACTATTATAGCAAACGCTACTGTATTTTTTTTTTTTTTAAAGATTTTATTTATTTATCCGACAGAGATCACAAGCAGGCAGAGAGGCAGGCAGAGAGAGAGGAGGAAGCAGGCTCCAGAGCCTGATGTGGGGCTCGATCCCAGGACACTGAGATCATGACCCGAGCCGAAGGCAGCGGCCTAACCCACTGAGCCACCCAGGCGCCCCTGTATTTTTTTTTTTAAAGATTTTATTTATTTATTTGACAGAGATCACAAGTAGGCAGAGAGGCAGGCAGAGAAGGGGAAGCAGGCTCCCCACTGAGCAGAGAGCCCAATGCGGGGCTCGATCCCAGGACCCTGAGATCATGACTTGAGCTGAAGACAGAGGCATAACGCACTGAGCCACCCAGGTGCTCTGCAAACTCTACTGTATTATTTAAACGTGTTATATTTATATTTGAGGAATTTGGACTGTTGGGGAGAATGAAACAAGGCTTGGGTACCACAAAAGAATTTTAGCTAGGAAACCATAATCTTTAAGTCCATGGTTTTTTGTTTTTCTCTCCTCCAGGTTGAAGTTTAAGCTCAGCAAAGATATAGCACTCACTGTCGGCATGTATAATATGGTCCAGAAGGCTGTCAAACCTCCTCCAGTGAGGCTTTATCGGGAAACCAATGAACCAGTGAAATCCAAGACCCGGACATTTAATGTAAATACGGGCAGTTTGCTTCTGCCTAGTGACACCAAGAGGTCTCAGGTAGGCCTGCCTTCTTACTGTATTTTGTCCCATTGAAGAGTTAACAGGGAGGGAGACAGTGATTAGCCTAACCAGTTAAATATTTTTCTATGTACGTCTTTGTAGCTAGGCTGTTAGAACACAAAACCATTCCTGTTTGGAACTCTGGTATCTAGACCGTTTGTTTTAAAGATTTTGTTTATTTATCTGAGAGACAGTGAGAGAGTGAGACAGAGCAGGAGCAGGGGGAGGGGCAGAGGGAGAGAGAGAAGCAGACTCCCCGCTGAGCAGGGAGCCCAACATGGGGCTCCATCCCAGGACCCTGAGATCATGACTTGAGCCAAAGGCAGAGGCTTAACTGAGTGAGCCACCCAGGCACCCCAGTAAATAAAATCTAAAAAAAAAAAAAAAAATTTTTTTTAAGTAATCTCTGCAGGCGACGTCGGGCTTGAAATCACAACCCCAAGATTAAGAGTTGCATGCTTTTCCAGCTGAACCAGCCAAGCACCCCAGTGTCTAGATCATTGATACTTTGACAGTTAGAGAGTTAGAACCAGCGTTTGAAAAAAAATGGCAGTGGAAACTTTGGCCCTTGACCCCTCTGCATTCAGCTCTAACAGTCGAATTCCTTGCTTGGGTACAGGAGTAGAAAAGGCTTTATCGTTAACTAGGGAGATGAGCTGGGGAAGCTGTTGGCTGTGAAGTGAACTTTTTGGGGGGGGGGAGTTTTTTTCCCCCCAAACCAAATTTTTTCCTGTGCTTTGAAATGATATACACGTGCCTTTCTTAATCTGAAGGACGGACTAAGAATGCAGAACATTATCTTTCTTCGTTCTCTTACCTTTGTTCAATCTGTGGAAGGATTGGATGTCTAAAATTAAAATCAAATGACTCATCCTTTTTTTTTTTTTTTTAAAGATTTTGTTTATTTATTTGACAGAAAGAGAGGCAGGCAGAGAGAGAAGGGGAAGCAGGCTCGCCGCTGAGCAGAGAGCTGGATGCGGAGCTTGATCCCAGGACCCTGGGATCATGACCTGAGCCCAAGGCAGAGGCTTCAACCCACTGAGCCACCCAGGCGCCCCATGACTCATCCTTTTTAACTATGCAAAATGTGGGAGAGAATCTGAGATTTTTTGCCTAAGTTCAGGACCTAGAAGGATCAACTAAGTGACTAAAATTAATTATTATTTTGATTCAACTCATGAGATATTTTTTGGAGCACAAATCTCAAGCCGGAGTGTTTTGCCCTACTTTTGGAAGGAGAAGACTAGAAATTTCCTCTTCCATTTTGGAAGTAACTGTTACTCATGTTGGTTTATTCATAGGCAGTCGCTCTTCTGGTCATGGAGTTTCTTTCTTTTTTTCTTTCTTTTTTTTTTTTAAGATTTTATTTATTTGTCAGAGAGAGAGGGAGAGAGAGCGAGCACAGGCAGACAGAATGGCAGGGAGAGGCAGAGGGAGAAGCAGGCTCCCCGCCAAGCAAGGAGCCCGATGCGGGACTCGATCCCAGGACGATGGGATCATGACCTGAGCCGAAGGCAGCTGCTCAACCAACTGAGCCACCCAGGCGTCCCTTTTTTCAAAGATTTTATTTATTTATTTGACAGACAGAGACACAGTGAGAGAGGGAACACAAGCAGGGGGAGTGGGAGAGGGAGAAGCAGGCTTCCTACCAAGCAGGGAGCCTGATGTGGGGCTCAATCCCAGGCCTCTGAGATCATGACCTGAGCTGACGGCAGACGCTTAACGACTGAGTCACCTAGGTGCCCCATGGAGTTTCTTTCTTGATCCAGTGTGCCTTCAAAAAAACTTGAGGGGTCTGTTTTGTTCATTAAACTAAAATTTGGAAAAAAAAAGGGGGGGGGCGCCTGGGTGGCTCAGTGGGTTAAAGCCTCTGCCTTTGGCTCAGGGCATGATCTCAGGGTCCTGGGATCGAGTCCCGCATTGGGCTCTCTGCTCAGCAGGGAGCCTGCTTCCACCTCTCTCTCTCTCTGCCTGACTCTCTGCCTACTTGTGATCTCTGCCTGAAATAAATAAATAAAATCTTAAAAAAAAACAAACAAAAAAACCTCACATTTGACTCTGTTGCTAAGTTCTGTTACCAGTCGTATATCTAGGACCATAATCCAAAATTAAAGTTTGGAAGTAATACTTAATGTGCGTGTTTGCTCAGACCTACCCCAATACCTGACATAGGTCTTCTCGATCAGTAGGCGTGGTTTGAGCTGCTTTTGTGGGTCGGGGACGATGCTGAGGGTTCGGTATATGTTAACTAAGGGAAGAGATAAATGCCCGAAGAGAATGGCCTTCAGCACCAGAGAGATGGTGGCTTAAAGCCCAATTCAGTTATATAACTTGGAGCAAGTTATCAACCATTGAGACTCAGTTCATTCATTTGTAAAGCAGTTTTTTTATTTTTTTTATTTATTTTTTTTTAAGATTTTTTTTTTTCCTTTTAAAGATTTTATTTATTTATTTGACAGAGAGAGGTCACAAGTAGGCAGAGAGGCAGGCAGAGAGAGAGAGGGAAGCAGGCTCCTCGCAGAGCAGAGAGCCTGACGCGGGGCTCGATCCCCGGACCCTGAGATCACGACCCGAGCCGAAGGCAGAGACCTTAACCCACTGAGCCACCCAGGCGCCCCATCTACCGCCTCCGCTGGATAAATTGCTTGACGAGTGTAAGGTGCCTGGCAGGCCCTCAGTAACTGTTCATTCCCTGCGGTAGCAGGAAGATGTCCTTGGTGAGCCATCTTCCTGTTCCTTAGAAGAAAGTTGATTTTAACTTGCTAGTGTCGTGTGGTAGTCACTTTGCATCTCCATGTAGCCTGTGTATGTGGCCCTCGTGTTCCCCTTCCTGTAGAGCTATGGGAGTCGTCAGATTGTACTAGAGAAAGAGGAAACAGAAGAGCTGAAACGCTTTGACGAACCAGGTTTGATTCTCATCGGTTTCAAGCCCTTGATGATGCTGAAGAAACACCATCACCTGAGGCCCTCCCTGTTCGTGTACCCCGAGGAGTCCCTGGTGAATGGTATGTGGTGTGGACCGAGGGTAAATGCATGAGTCACAGAAGGCAGTCCTGCTTGGAGCCTGGATAGGACATATTAAGGGGGCATTCTAAAAGTGTTTCGAGCTTAGAGAAGTTGTGGAAATTTGGGACTAAACAAAGTTAAAGATGTTTCTTTAGGACCTATAATACACTAATATGCTTTGTGAATATCCAGGGGGTGATATGGAATTAGAAATTTAAAAACTTACTTCCTATGGAAGTCTTCCTTTGAGGCATCAGATGGAGAGTTAAAAAAAAAAAACAACCCAGTTTCTTCAGTGTTGGCAATTAAAGATGCTGTGAACTAGGTCATTGTGTTTGTCCTGTCCAGACCTAAATTCCTCTGTGCTATAGCTAACCGGCCCCTGTATTTGACCTGGCTGGCTTTTATTAGTAACTGGGGCTTATAGCATTAGTCTAAAGATAGTGAAAGTGAACTGATGTTAATAATTCACACTCCGAAATGGGTGTTTGAGGCATTTAATCTCTCATTTCTTTCCTTTCTCTTCCTTTCTGTGCCTCTGCTGCCCCCACTTTCCTTTCAGCTCTGGGCTCATCACACTTTACCTAATGAAGTATCATAAGCCCTTTTAAGAAAATGGAAGAGAAATTGTAGGCTTGTAACCTGGGCTAGAGGGAATAGAGGAGGAGATACCTTTGGGATGCAGACTCCTGGGATGTTTGTTTTCCAGGGAGCTCAACCCTGTTCAATGCTCTCCTCACCAAGTGTCTGGAGAAGGAGGTCATGGCAGTGTGCCGATACACCGCCCGTCAGAACATCCCTCCTTATTTTGTGGCCTTGTTGCCACAGGAAGAGGAGCTGGATGAGCAGAAAATTCAGGTGACTCCCCCAGGTATGTGGAAGAGATCTTTTCAGTGCTTCTGAACCTTGCTCAGACCAGAGTCTCAACCAAAGTCTCCAGGAATGGGGTCTGGGAAAGGTGTAATTTTAAGGTTTCACAGGTGAATTTGATGCAGAGCCAGGTAAAACTGCCAAATATGGTTGTGCAGTGCACGGCATGTGCAACTATGCAAGGCAGCTCTGCAGCCACCATTAAAGAATTGGCTGCATAGGGACTGTTTGCAGGTTACTGACAAAGTTTATGGCGCAACTGCTGCACCTTTACTAAAAGCCATTGTTAGACACCTTTGCAATGTTTGGTGTTTGGTTTACCCTCTGCATATACTAAGGCAGTGAGGTATAGCAGAAAGACCATGGGTTTTGAAGTCAGACTTGACTTATCCTTATGTGTGGGAAAGTTTACTTTTTCTTATTTAAGGCCCATCTCTGCCACTTGTTACCTGGCCGATTTGGGCAAATCATTTACCCTTTCGACTTACATTCCGTATCTGCAAAGATGGGAATTCTGGAACATCTTACTTTTCAGGTTGTTTCCCATGTGAAACAAGTAAATAACTGTGAAAGTGCCTAAGACAATAGGCCATGCTAATAAAAGTAAACTATAAAGTAATTCTTCGAAAATGTTATATTTGGGTTCTTTTTTTTTTTAAAG